ATAATTAAATGTAATAATATGCAAGTATGAGAAACAATGCTATAAATTACATTCATTGAGTTGTTGACAGAAAGATGTACATGCACATATCACTAAGTGCAAATAAGTAAATCAAAACAGCATTGTGTTAATATAAATTTACTTATATACAATTGTGTGGTTCCATTTGTATATGTTAAATGCTAATTGATTAGAAGATTTCAACTTTTTTCATGTATATACATATATGTATATGTATATACACACATCTGTTTATATATAAATATGTATATGTATATATATTATATTATTTATATTATATTCATACGCATTCAGATTAGAATCTTTTGTCATGAACATGTGTCTCATGCTTATTTTTTTTAAGAAAACAGGATAAAAGCTACTTTACTCTGAAAAAATAAAGCAACAATGAGGCCGACTAATTACACTGCCATGCGATATCTGGCATTCAAAATGTGTGTTAGAAGCACAGTCAAGTGCTATTGAGAAATGGAATGAATCATAAAGGTTATGAACTACTTACCCACCAAACACCTGGAGTGCAGAGAATTTGGAAGCATCCAAATCATTGCCACTTACTATTCGAGCCTTAAATGAAGAATAAGAAAAAACAAAACAAAACAAACAGTATTTTAGCATACTATAGTGTATGTAAGTGACATTGGGACACAGGTCAACTGCACTACACACGTAACACCTAATATGACAGATGCTAAGCAGGGTCAGCTCCAAGTCAAAGCTGTGTTTTGTGAGTGGAGGTTTTGAAATTAGCTGTCAGCATTTAAACAAAAGCACTGGTAGAGTCCAGGATAATACATCATATTCCAAATACCATTGCCCTTAAAACTTGGTATGTGCAGTGAAGTTCATGAATCAGTCAGGAAGGTCATGACTTAGCCAGACTTAAGAACAGATGCTGTGTTTGACCGAAGCAGACCCCTAGGGTTGGCAAGGTAAGCTAAAGTAAGCGCAGCTGGCAAGGTGTAACCTCTTCATAATGCAACAGATTAGGGCACACTTAAAGGACAACCAAAGAATGGAAAGCTGGGAATGACATGCACATTTCACAACTAAAACAGAGAAATCAAACAGGTCTAATATGTAAACAAACAAACATGTACAAAGACAAGATCCCTCAGAAGGGAAGAAAAAGTATGATTTAAAACCTTTTCATCCACAGAACTGCTATCTGAAAGAGAATCAGGAAAAGAAGGGATAAATGTTAGATGGATTACTTTTCAAGAAACCATTTAAACATATACATGAACAAGTGTTATCGTTACATTGTTAAAAATCACAAATGAACAGTTGCAAGGCTGAACCCCAAAGGAACAGGGAAAGTAATTCCTTATAATTTAAAGAGCTGCAAAGATGTGAGAGAATGCTTGAAAAGTATTGCTAGGTTTAATGAATGAAAATGTGTCATTTTAAAAACAACAACAACAATTAAAAAAAAAAAAAAACACAGTTGAAGACTTAGAAGTTCTGGGCTCCAGCTGGGGTGCTGCCACTTACTGAGCACACTGGGCAAACTACCAAATTCTCTAGAGTCTACACTCAACTCTGAAATAATGTCAGAAATATTTTCCCCAATTGCTTCAGAACATTGTTGAGATCAACTAACTGAATATTTTTTAAAGTAAACCTCAACTGTCTATAAAATTATTTTTTAGAAGATTACTTGTTTATGGTTCCTCATATGAAGAACTAAGACTAAAAAATAATATAAATGATTCCACCTTAAAAAATACTGATGCCTTAAAGGGTTATGTGCCTTGATTAAGATCACAAATCTAGAAAGTGGCAGAAATGAGACAGGAACCCAGGGCTCCTAATGCTCCACTTGGTGCTTTCAGATCCAATGTTTTATGTGAATCGCACAAAACAGCAATGGGTGGTTGGCCCACAGTCTGACAATGATTTCAGATAAACCACAGGATCAATAATTTTCAGTTTTGACTGTGTATGGGCCCAGGTGGATGGACAATGAACTGCTGTGAGCTTGTAGTGGTATTAGTTGTTATTGTAGCTTGTTTTCAAACTCCCATCTAAATCTGCCAGGTCATAAGATATGGTCTATATTTTCTTTATACAGGACTATTTTTACTTTATAAATAGAACTAGTGTTCTTAAATATATTCAGCTTTGCTTATTAGTTTAATGCTGGAGGGACATCTCTATGGATACGAATAGGCAGGACAGTAGAGTTCGAATGACCTTGGAATTAAGTCTAAACCCCCTCTTGTTTTTTTAAATATAGATGAGCCTCAGAATGATAATTTGCCCAAGGTCATGTAGCTCAACCAAGACCCTTACTGACTCACTAAGTATAGAATAATTAATTTTCATAACTAAATATCTTTGTGCAGATTTCACAATATCTCAGATTTAATCTTCAAATATAAAACATGGCAAGCTGTGTTATAAAGTAATGAAAGATGAATCTTACTTATGGACATAAAGACTTTAAATACTGTATAAAATATAGCAAATATAATTCAGTATTATTTTGAAAGAAAAACAGGCTATGTCCAAGAAGATTTTGCCCTAAGAATCATTTAAAATTATGAAATGACCAATTATGAATTTAATATGACATATCAATTGGTCACACATCAATTGGTCAGAAAATATATACCCGAATTTCAACAGTACCAAAACATGATTTGATAAAATTTCAAGCCTTCAAAATAATTATTAAAAATGTCTTTAAGATGGGTTTGAATGGGTCTGTCTTATATTTAATATATTTTTAAAAATCTTAATTTCACAGTCACCAACTTAAGTGTGACAAATTAGCACATTTTTACTATCAAGGACAAAACAAAACATTCCACTATCATAATTTAACTTTTTAAAGGGAGCATTATATATCTGGAAGTTATGGCCAGTATATTAAAGCATTAACAGAAAGAAAGAACATAAATGTTACAAGTTAGGATACAAAGTTGTTATTTTCAGTAATGACAATTTTACATCCAGAAAACAAAACAAAATCACCTTGAATACTAAAAGGGCTAATTAAATGACTAACAAAGCAACTATCTCATTGTTACAGATTAATAACTAATTTAATAATATATTTATAGCAATAAAATATTATTTTTTATATATTAACAATAAATAGTTTTTAAAACAATGAAATAGATCTGATTTCAGATATTCAATATTTCATAGGGGCAATTTGTATTCATTGTTTTTATAGGTATCTGTCTTCTATTTCAAGCATTCCACCAAATAAAAGTAGTTTTACAAAGGTCATCAATTATCATTAAGCTGCTTAATATGTCAATACATTGATTCATTCACTGTTCCATTCATTCAATCAACACATAATTTATTATCAATGAACCCTTTTTTTCACTTTGACTTCTTTCTTATCTCCCTGTTATATTCTACCCCTAAAACTTTCTAAAATACAGATATCAGTCACTCCCCTTTTTATAACAGACCAATAATACTCAATGCCTTCACGAAAGAAAATCAGATTACTGATTTTCAGGGTTACTGTAGTCTCATGGCTCATCATTCCCTTTCCACATCCTAAACTTGAGTCAGAACTAAATTAGTTCTGTGCCACA